GGGATAGCAATATATATTAGATTTACAAGCAAAACAGGTATATGCAGACGAGGAGGGTAGGATTTTGATGTTAGAAGTTTATATAAATTATAAGAAAATGTTATTGACAGTGATATATGCGCCGAACGAGAAACAAGAAAAATTTTATACCAAACTATACAGAAAATTAGTAGAACAGGAATATGAGAACATATGCCTGCTAGGTGATTTCAATGCAATAGCAAATTTAGGAAAAGACCACAATAATGAAAATCTAGGGAAAAAAAGGAAAAGGAAAACATTACCCAAAGTATTTTATCAAATGGTGGAAGAATTAGGATTAAAAGATATATGGAGAGAAAGAAATCCAGACAAAAAACAGTATACTTACTATTCAGCACCACACGCATCATGGTCAAGATTGGATATGTTATGGACAAATGGGGAAATGGAACATAATATAAAAGAAGTAGAAATTGAATCTAACACATGGGCCGACCATAATCCTATTAAAATAATCTGGAAAGGATTGAAAAAAAACAGAAGATGGATGCTAAACAAGGAGATCCTAAAAGGAAAAGAATGTGTCAAGATGATGGAAAAAGAATTGGAGTTCTTTCTGAAAGAAAATAAAAAAGAACATCAATTCCAAACCTATGGGACACGACTAAAGCATACATCCGGGGCTTAGCAATTTCATATAATACATGCAGATACAAGGGAAAAAAAGGAGAACAATCTAAACAACTACTCTTAAGGAGTTAGAAAAAACACTAGGAAAAACACCACATAATAAGACAGCAAATACGGAGAGGATAATGATAAGACTTAAATTGAACATGTTAGCACAAGATGAATGGTTACAGGACATGAAAAAGATAAAACAGAATTATTTCAAACACGCGAATAAGCTGGGAAGGTGGCTAGCCTATAGACTTAAGAAAGAAAAAGAAAAAAGAGCAATCCAACAATTGAAGGACACTGATGGTACACTACAACATCAAACTGAAAAGAAAAAACATATTGTTAAAAGTTTCTTTGAGGAACTATATAGCAGGGAAGACGTACCAGAGGGAAATATCCAACATTACTTAGAAGGAAAAGGGCTACCTGTGATCCCGGAAGAGGATAAAGAAGAGATAAACAGGGAAATAACATTAAGAGAACTGCAAGAGGCAATCCTGAAACAGAAAAATAAGACACCGGGACCGGATGGTCTCCCTGGGGAACTGTATAAAACACTCCAAGGAAAATTAGAAATGCAATTATTAGAACTCTATAATGAGGTACTGACGACAGCAAAATTACCTAAGTCATGGGGGGAAACATACATAACATTGATCCCAAAAGAAGATTTGGACCATCAATTAATTCAAAATTACAGGCCCATATCCCTTTTAAATGTTGATTATGAAATATTTATGTCCATAATGGCAGAAAGATTGAAAAAAACCCTTAATCAGATTATTCATAGCGACCAAAACGGATTCTTACCAAATAGACAAATTAAAAATAATACTAGAATGGTATTGAATATAATAGAATATTATGAAGCAAACCCAGGAAAACAATTGGCAATGGTCTTCCTCGATGCGCAAAAGGCATTTGACAATGTTAATTGGCAGTTCATAATACAACAATTAAAAAACATGCAATTTGGCAATGAATTTATTAAACTGATTTCAACCATTTATACAACACAGACGGCCAGTGTAATACTGAATGGTGACAGAACGGAAATGTTTAAGATCAACAAGGGAGTAAGACAGGGATGCCCACTGACTCTCCTTCTCTTTATTCTTACCTTAGAAAACTTATTGGAAAACATTAGGAAAAATGAAGAAATCAAAGGGGCTCTAATTAAAAAGGAGCATTATAAGGTACAGGCATTTGCCGATGCTATAGTATTTTTTCTGGAAGATCCAGAGGATACATGAGTAAAATTAATAAAGGAAATAGAGGAATTCAGCAAGGTTGCAGGCCTTAAGATTAATAAAAACAAAACAAAATTATTGACTAAAAATTTAAAAGATAAGCAAAAAAAAGAATTAGAAGGAAAATTGGGAATGTAAAGTGTGAAAAAGGTAAAATATTTAGGCATTTGGTTAACAGCAAGATGCTCTTCAATTAAAAAAGATAATTACGACAAATTAATAATACAAATCAAAAAAGAATTGGAAATGTGGGGGAAATTACAGCTATCACTACTGGGGAAAATTGCGGCAATTAAAATGTCTACCCTACCAAAAATACTATATCTTTTTCAAACTGTACTAATAAGATTGGATAAAACCTTCTTTTAGAGAATTAGATCGAATAGTAAGTAAATTTGTTTGGGATGGGAAAAAAGCTAGGATAAAAATGAAATTGTTACAGGACAAAAGAGAAAGGGGTGGCTTTGGACTCCCTGACTGGGAAATGCATTATCAGGCTGCGGCTATGGTATGGATTAAAGATTGGATCAACCTGGAAAATAGAAGAGTATTGTCGATAGAGGGTCATGACTTGCAGAGAGGGTGGCATAGTTTCTTATGGGATGGGATGCATATTTTCAGAGACATATGATTAGAGATTCATTAATTTGGACATAGAACAAAATTAAAAAGAACCATTATACTAAAATACCGAACTGGTTGTCAACTATGGAAGCACAAATCTACCCAAACGCAATGGATCTGGGAAAAAAGAGGAGTTACAAAGACCTATTAGACCCACAAGGAAGATTAAAAACAAGACAAGAATTACAGCAACAAAATATAAAGATAGATTGGTGGCCATACATGCAAATCCAAGCGAGATATCAGAAGGACAAAGAACAATTTGGTTTCTGCATGGAAAAGCATCAATTAGATAAAATTCTACAAGAAATGGAAAAGAAAATGATTTCAAGAATATATAACTTTCTACTAGATTTTAAAATGGAAGAGGAGGTGGTCAAAGAGACGATGGTGGTATGGGCAAAAATGTTGGCCATAATATAGACCTGGAAAATTGGGAGAGAATGTGGGGATCAAATTACAAATTAATTACATCCACAGCATACAAGGAAAATCAATACAAAATGTTCTACAGATGGCATCTTCCTCCCGCTAGATTAGCAAAAACGTTTAATTCAGACCCAAATTGTTGGAAATGTGGAAAAGAAAAAGGCACTTATTTTCATACCTGGTGGACATGCCAGGAAGTGAAAAATATTGGAATACAATTAGACAATGGCTAGAAGAAATCATGAATCAGAAAATTGAATTTAATCGGGAAGCTTTTTTGTTAGGTATAATAACACAAAAATGCAATAAAACAGATATATTATGTTACATGTATTAGCAGCTGCAAGGATTTCATACAGACAACTCTGGAAGGAAAAAAGGGTTCCACCAGAAGGCATGGTTATTAAAAAATAATAGATTGTATAGAGATGGACAGGCTAACGATGAAAATAAGAGAGAAGATTAAATTTATTATAGGGCCTGGGATGCCTGGTATGAGTGGTTTAGAAATGAAAATAAAATAAAATGGCAATTAGGAAAAGAATGAGGGAATATGTAAATGTGTAAATATACCATGGAGAAGATTGATGTGTAAGGATAAAAGATATTGATTTATAGCAAGAGTAAGATGTAATGGTAAAGGAATAAGTAAATACATATACTGGAAAATGTGAGGAAATGCAAAAGATGTCTTGATGTTGATAACAATGTATAAAGTTTTGTTTTATGTTTTTTAAAATTTGGAAAATTAATAAAAAAATTATTTAAAAAAAAGAATAGTTAAGAAACTGGGCTTGCTGGCTGAAAAGTTGACAGCCCAGGTTCGAGACCCAAGCACCACGGAACAGGGTGAGTTCCTGTTACCTGCCTCAGTTCCTACCCACCTAGCAGTGTGAAAGCATGAAAATGTGAGTAGATAAATGGGTACTACTTTGGTGGGAAGGTAACAGTGTTCCGTGCATCTCGGCATATAGTCATGCTGGCTACATGACCACAGAAGTGGCTTCGGACAACACTGGGTCCCTTGGCTAGGAAATGGAAAAGAGCACCGCGCCCTTGAGTCAGACACGACTGGACAGGAGAAACCTTTACCTTTACTGCTACTTTTATACATTCACTATATCTGCAGCCTATATGGAATAAAACTCAAAAGTATTTACTGCATCACGATGTACTGTAACTTGAAAAAAGTAACCTTACTGATCTAGAAAGTGAAAGAATGTATGAACTGTTAAAATGTAATGGTAAAATATAACCTAAGCTTGAAATGATACAGGTTCTTCTTCCACTGTAATTAACTGTAATTATACTGTAATTATAAATGACCATATCTTGGTTTAGTGGATTTTTTAAAAAAATAAACTATTTCTTACATTAAATAACACCTTTTAATCACTGCAGATATAGGAGCAAAAAAGACTAATTCTTACACATGAATTCCTTTAAAGAGGAAAAAAAAATGTTCCTATTCTGCAGATCTAAAAAGGGTCTATAACTTTCTTGAAGAACAGTCAGTTTGCATAAATGAATCCAAGGCTCAAAACATATTATGTACACATAATTCAAGCAACTTCATTGATATGTAAATATGTAATTATATATTTATCTAATGCAGAGGCTACAATCAATATTTTAAAGTTGCAACTTAAGTTATTTATAAGAAATATCTAAAGTAATGAGAAAATTTAGGAGTCAAGCATAAAGATGGAAATTGGTCAACCCAGGACAGAAAGTGTCAAGTTTAATTACATAGCAGAAACCCCAAAAATCTCATAGGGCACACATACTGTGAATTTCTACTTTCCATGGCAGCCCTTTGCACCATCCAAAACTACATTTGAAATCTTGGGTTTAAGATTCCTCTCATTCAGCATGAAATTAAGGAGAGAGACTGATTGACTGAGTAAATGCCCAGGCAATGCCCAGGTGCATGGTGCTATTCTGCCAGTGGTAAATTTCTTTATATGCTATTGCATATAGAGGCAAGTATATCTTTATACAGTACTACTATGCTTCCAAATGGATAGGACTTACCTGCAACACTGGTAATGGTGACTGGCACTCCTTGCACTTGAACAACAGTGCCCAAGTTGCCTACACTTACTGTTTGAAGATTAGGCACTGAAGCAATCTGAGAAGTATTAAGTGTTATTGGTGTGCCAACAAGAGCTACTGGTGCTATTTGAGCAATTGTACCACCACTTGAAGATACAGGGGTCATAGTTAGCTGCTGAGGTAGCCCAGCATTTTGAACTTGGAGATTTGAAAGACTTTGAAGATTTTGGATTTGTACTGTCCGCCAGATGATTTGTCCTGATGGGGTTAAAGTTGGTGCTCTTATGAGTATTTGTGTTGGACTCACTGCTTGCAGCTGAACATTTTGCAAAGACTGTTGCTGAATGGCCTGAATAGTTTGTCCTGCCTGAACCTGGAAAGATTGTGGAGAAATTGCTTGAATAATCTGCTGCTGAGGCTGTTGGATCTGGATCTGCTGGAGAATAGGTTGACCTACTATTTGAACCTGTTGTAGTGAATTTGACTGGTCCTGAACATTTTGCAATCCATTAGACCAGGCTTGTCCAACCCGCGGCCCATGGGCCGCATGCGGCCCAGGTCACCTCGTAATGTGGCCCAGTGCCCACCCCAACCTTCATGCCAGAGCCAGCGAGGAGGAGGAGAGGCAGGCGCGAGGCGGGGCGAGGCGAGCGCCAGGCCAAGCAGCAAGAGAAAAGGTGGGCGCCGTCAGAGCGCCACCTCCTGCTGTTGCCACCGCCGCCACCGCCGCCGCTTCTGCCCCCACCGCCGCTGCCCCCACCTCCTCCGCTTCTGCCCCCGCTGCCGCTTCTGCCCCCACCGCCGCTGCCCCCGCCGCCACTTCTGTCCCGCCACTGCTTCTGCCCCCGCCGCCGCCGCTTCTGCCCCCGCCGCCTCCCCCGCTGCCGCTTCTGCCCCCACCGCCGCTGCCCCCGCCGCTGCTTCTGCCCCACCACCGCCGCTGCTTCTGCCCCCGCCGCCGCCGCTTCTGCCCCAACTGCTGCTTCCCCCGCCGCCACTTCTGCCCCCGCTGCTGCTTCTGCCCCCGCCGCCGCCGCTTCTGCCCCCGCCGCCTCCCCTGCCGCCACTTCTGCCCCTGTCACCGCTGCTGCCCCCGCCGCCTCCCCCGCCACCACTTCTGCCCCCGTTGCTGCCGCTGCCCCCGCCACCACCCCCGCTTCTTCCCTCACCACCGCTGCTGCTTCTGCCCCCGCTGCCCCCGCGGCGGGGGCAGTAGCGGTGGTGGTGGCGGTGGCGGTGGTGGTGGCGGTGGCGGGGGAAGAAGCAGCGGCGGGGGTGGCGGCGGGGCAGCAGCGGTGGCGGGGGAAGAAGCGGTGGCGGGGGAAGAAGCGATGGCGGGGGTGGCGGCAGGGGCAGCAGCGGTGGCGGGGGCAGCAGCGGTGGTGGGGCAGAAGCGGCGGCGGGGGCAGCGGCAGCGGGGGCAGAAGCAGCAGCGGTGGTGGGGGAAGAAGCGGCGGCGCCGGCGGGGGCAGAAGCCACGGCGGGGGCAGAAGCAGCAGCGGTGGCGGGGGAAGAAGCCGTGGCGGCGGCGGGGGCAGAAGCCACGGCGGGGGCAGAAGCAGCAGCAGTGGCGGGGGAAGGCTTCTGCCCTCACCGCTGCTGCTGCTTCTGCCTTCCAGTCCTGCCTCATCCAGCCGGGCCATTTGCAGGAGGAGAGGTAGGCGCGAGGCGGGTGAGCTTTCTCCCCGCCCCCCCAAAAAAAATTTGGCCGGAAAATAAACCATGATAAAAAAACTGTGATAAAAAAACCATGATAAAAAATAAATAATTTTTAATAAATAATTAATAATAAATAATAAAAACATCTCACTAACTTCATTTCCAAATAAATTTAATATGTTAACTATGTTTTCTATGGTTTTTTTGGATGATCAGGTATTGTTACTGTTATTTTATTTTATGTGCGGCCCAAACCAAATTTTCATCTTCTAATGTGGCCCAGGGAAGGTGAAAGGTTGGACACCCCTGCATTAGACTGAAGTTGACTAGAATTTTGTACCTCTGTTTCAGATTTGGTCATCTGCGCTTCTTCAGTACTAGTTTCAGAACTATTTGCTGTGCGTGCATACTGGCCTGCTTCTGCAGTAGTAACTAACATTTCATTGCCCGTTAGTGATGTGGAGGCTGTAGTTGTGGAAGAGGGAGGAGAATCAGACATAACACTAACAGAAGCTGTTGTGACAGGTGTTGACAATAGCTGGTTTCCATTGGAAAGTCTACTGTCAGTGGGCTGGGCAACCTGTCCAGAACTACTACCAGTTGCAATATTTATTACAGGTAATGCTAGAGTCACTCCCCCAATATTTATAGGTAATGAAGTTACAACTTGAGCCTGAGTACCAGCAATAGGGAGCTGCAATGGAATAGAAACACCAGGAGTAATCTGGACAGGCACTGTTTGATTTGCCAAATTCTGAGCAATAATACTCTCAGAAGATGTCCTATTTGTAGTTGCAATAATAGCTTGATTATTCCCTGCAGGAATGAGCTGAATCTGACCCTGTATATCTTGCAGAGCTGTGGCATTAGCAGGATTTATCTGAATGCGATGACCTTCTGTTGTCTGTATTTGTGGAAACACTTGGTACTGTACACTACTACCTGAACTCTGTACTTGGACAACTTGAAATTGTCCTGATGTTACTCCAGAAGAATTATTTTGTTTTGTTTTGTTTGATACATTCCCATTGTTACTATGGGACAGACTTGCTACAGTTGAAACGACAGAAGATGTTAGCTGGTTGTTCTCTTTTGAAACAGGAGAAGCTGCAACAAATTGCCAAGCATTTCCAGCAAGCTGAGTTGTTACTAATTCTAACTGCTGTGGTTGACTCTGAAGCTGCACCAAACCTTGACTAGGATTTATAATAATCTGTTGTCCAGTTGCTTGATTCTCACCAGGAGTTCCTATTTTACTGCAGGTTGCTGCCAACAGAGCCAGAGGAGAGGGCTGAGAATCCTAATAAAAATATGTGTATTAGAATGTGAACTACAAAGGAGTAGCAGCAACAGCATTCTACATATTACACTAAGTAACAAAATTCAATTTAGTTTTTGTTCCTGGATATAAAGTGTGTTTTCCTAATCCCTTATACCTAAAACAAATAGAAAATAGCTATTGTTCCACAAAAACTTTACTTAGGTGGTCAGGCCAAAGGTATTTTGAACTTTATCTGTTTTCAAGAACATTCTAGGTTCACATTCAATGCTGACTAGACTTCCAGAATATTCTGGAACTGTGAGAAGCATCCATAAGTTTCTAGAATTGGCCAGAACAATTGCTGCTCACGAGATAGAATTTCAGTGATTACAGTTTAAAAGACTTGCAATTAAGAAAATTTTCAGTATTTTCAATGTTCTGGGAAAATACAGACTACAATATATTATTATGCCCTATGGTAATAGCTTGCACAATATTAGCTAAAGCGTGAAATATTTTTTCCTTATTTCTATAATTCTGCTATGTTGACTTCTGCTGGAACTTTAGTGACCTCCCTTTAGTATTCCTCCTCTGGTCTGCTGCTGATTCTCTATGGATTTGTGTTGTGATTGGAAGGATCGGTCCTGTTAGGAGTTTTGACTCTGAT